TTTGAAAAGAACGAACCTGCAAATGTCTCAACTGACCAATCAGAATCAAGCATTCCAGAGAGCCGTGTAATAAAGTTTAATAATGTTCAGAAAATAGGAAAATTAATTTATACTCTTTCAGTATTGTAAACTCCAAAATTATAGTGAATTTCTTGACATTTAAGCAAGGCTTCGAAATGTTTATGGTCTATAACACGGGTATCAAACCCCAGTCCTGGGGAGCAGAGCCCTGCACATTTTTGGGTTTCCCCTCATTTAACACACCTGATTCAACTCCTTGCGCTAATTACCACACAGCTCTTGAGCTGAAGCATTTATGGTGGAACAGGGAAAGAACTAAGCTACACAGGGCTCCAGCCCTCCAGGACTGCAGTTTGACACCCCTAGTCTATAACAATATCAATGCATTTTATAAGGGTAATTATCCACATATTTAGGGTCAAAATAATCTAGAGTAGAAGTTATTAATTTAATGACCAAGATGGCAAAATCCTTCAGAAAAAATTATACAACATAAGCACCAAGGTAACACAGTCATCACTCAGCACATTAAATGCTACAATCTTATTTCATCTTGCTAACATTGGTGCTAACAATTTGGGATGAGTTTCCCAAGCAGCAATCAATGAAATGCATTTGTGGAATAAAAAGCACCATATAAATCGAATTCCATCCATCCATTTTCCAACCATTTATCCTGGCCAAGGTTGCAGATAAGTTGAATTACATAAAAGTATATTACACTTTACTGATGTCACGATCACTTGTTTTGGAAATGTCTTATATTGGCATTTTCATTTATCAGCAGTTTCTGCTGTTGCTCTCCTCTCCTCTGGTTATTCCACTGACTCTGTTCCTCCATCTTACGTGTCACTGGTTTGTGCTGCTCGATCTCTGCTCTGTTAGCCTGTTCATATCTTCATCCTGTCTCCTAGGATTCGGGATGGAAGCCACTCTATTGCTAGTGGTCGGCTTTTCTCACACGAGGGGAGTGGCCATAACCTTTCTGGTCCTTGCTGTCGGCTTTAGTGGATTTGCAATCTCAGGTCAGTTTGCGTGTCTCTGGAAAAATTCAGATGACCAAGAAACTTACTTCTCCTTAGCACTGCAAATTTAAACCTGGAGTCTCTGCAAATGCCTGAATAAAGTAACTGCCAAGGGTACTATGTTTTTTTTTTACATGTCAAGAGACCATAAACAAAACTCACCCTCAGGACCATAGTAGATGTGATAAGTTTTTGAATGATTGTGACATCACTGATAGCTTTTATCTCAGCTGGCTATCCCTGCATTTGCTTTGGACTATGATGTAAACACAAGAAGATACTTATTATTCATTGCAGACACATAAAGGCTGGACACAGTGGCTCAGCCTGTAGCCTGTTTACTCTTTCCAACCATGGCTCTGTTTCCATATTCTCGCAGTGTTTATGCGTGGTCTTCTGCAGTTTAAAGACTTGCATTTCAGGAGTAGTAGCAGCCTGTTATATTCCAGTTAGCCCTACCTGACACCCTATACTGTACTTTCAAAAGCAGATGCTGACCCGCTAGCATCTGGCTTTGACAAGCAGCAGTCTAAAATGGGTGCTTTCAGATGGCTACTAGAACAGATGTGCATTTCCGCTGGTCTCTTCTCAGTTTTTGGCGGTCAGGGCTAATTGGACTCTTCACCTACTTCTATAACTGTCTGCTAAGGGTATTTTTTGTCAAGCCCAGTTCTCCATTTCTTTTTCACAGGGTTTAATGTGAATCACTTAGACATAGCTCCACGCTATGCCAGCATCCTCATGGGCATCTCCAATGGAGTCGGAACTTTGTCAGGCATGGTGTGCCCACTGATAGTGGGGGCCATGACGAAACACAAGGTAAATTATCAGCTGTAATGCAATACACATACTGTTTAATGCAATATGCATGCCATTCAGTACAATACACATGCCATTCAATGTAACGCACATACCGTTTAATGCAATATGCATGCCATTCAGTACGACACACGTGCCATTTAATGTAACACACATACTGTTTAATACAGTATGCATGCCATTCAATAAAATACACATACCATTCAATGCGATACCCATTCATGAAATTAATATAAAAATGACCATGAAGGCTAAAACAAAACACAATACTTTTAAAGGAATAAAACATTATTTTCTATTGGCTTTCTGTTAGTTGATTGATTAACTGCCTTAGGCTTGAGTAGCCAAAAATTGATGACTTAATTCATGTGTTTGTCATTTTTCTCTTCTGACTTTGTGACGGTAAATTGTGATGAAATTAGGATTTGACCAGCATAATGGTTTGCCTCTTCTTCATTATACGTGTCTGTCCGTCTCTCTGTCTTCTGTCTTTTTCCGGTCGATGTCTCAGACACGGGAGGAGTGGCAGTATGTATTTCTCATAGCTTCTCTTGTTCATTATGGAGGCGTTATCTTCTATGGTGTGTATTTCTCTCTTCTTCGTCACTCATTCTGCGATGTCCCACACTTTTGCCTGCGGGTTGACAGTCTTGCTTTTGTTTTGATTCTGTCTGTATGGGGATATTTTAGTCAGGGAGAACATCGAGTTCATCATCCCAGCATGTCATATTCTGAGTAATCTCTCTTGATAAGCAGCACAGAAATATCAGCGAACACATCAGCTTAGCTAAATATCTGTACAATGAAGTTGATTTAAAAAAAATCGGATGTCTCATTTGTTGTTGAATTTTAAAGTATGAAATGTCTCCTGCTAATCTGAGACATGATCATTCCTCTTCTTTATATTATAATGCTTGTTATGCCATTAATCAGCTTAATCTAGTTCAAATGTTGATAGTTTTTTTTGCCATTGTTCCAGGCATCTTTGCCTCCGGAGAGAAGCAGCCTTGGGCAGAGCCCGAGACCACCAGCGAGGAGAAATGTGGGATCCTTGATGAAGACGAGCTAGCTAATGAAACGGAGGAGTTATACCATACCGGCGGAGGGGGGCAGTATGGAGCGATGAGCCAGCCCCAGCCCGGCATGAACCCAAACGGAGGAGGAGGAGGATGGGCCACCGACTGGAACAAGACTGAGGAGTATGTGCAGCCAGCAGGATCCAACAGCTACCTGTATGGCAGGGAGGGAGAGAGAGCGCTACCATAGCGGAGTGCTGTGACTGGGACGGGGAAGCCAGAGTACAGATGGAGATAAGAGGAGGGGGATGAAACAGTCACTATGAGATGGATGTAGATTAGTACAGGGTATGAGCGAGGAGACTGATACATTAGAGAAAGGGACTGGGGCGGCAGTAGGGGGCGCTATGCTGACTGAATGGCTTCGTCAAAGAAAGGATGACCAAAGAAGAGTTCAGAAAACAGAAAAGAAGTCATGCAGACGAAGACCAAACACCCAAACAAGCAGGTTTGGCCTGTGGCCTGTTTGTGACACTTCCTATGTCATGTGCATTTGTGGGCGTGTGTTTGTGTGTGTGCAGGTGTTTCAGTTTGGTTTGGACCATGTTCATGCATATATGCAGGCGGAGGAGCATTTTTGGGTAACAGAGCCTGGATTCTCCCACTCCTTGCAGATTTTTTTCTATGTCATTCCAAGCCCATTTGTTATAGATTTTGATTGGACCCTGTCTCATATTTAAGGCTGGCTCTGCATTGTATTTCTACTCTAGGTTTGTTTATTAAATGAAATATAAATGACAAAATGAATCAGTTAGAAAGACAGGCAACTCTAGTGCAACATTTCGCTAACAAATGATCATTTATTCGGTGTTAAGCATCTTGACATTCAGGAGCCAGTGTAATTTTTCTTAAAGTATTGCAAACATTCATGTAAACAGTGTTTATTTTTCCAATGCAAACAAAAGAAAAACCTTGTTATTGTTCATAGCAGCAAGACAATTACCTTTGTGATGAACCACAACTGTACTGAAAATACTTATAAAACGAACACAGAGAGCACACATTTAAGTGTCAGATTTACCCATTTTTTGATTTTCCTACACAAAAATAGTTAATCTCTCAGAGGATAATGTAGTTTATCAGTTGCCTAAAGAGATTAAATGTGCTGCATTAGTGTTCCCATCTACAAGATTTGAACCCACAATCTCCCAGGTAGGGCACCGGTTTCCTAAAACAGGAAGTGACACACTTGTACAATTTTGATGATTGCATATTGTCTATGAAAATATTACACAATAATGAATAGTGTATGGAATCATTCATGAAGTTAATGTCATTTAAGTGGAATTTCTGTTTAAAGGAGTTCTAGATATTAAGAGGTATTAATTCAAACCGAAAAAAATAACTGAAATAAAATACACAAAACTAAGACATAGTGATAGAACTGAAAACAAACCAACAAATAATTTTCCTCCAATAGCACTGCAATATTCTCCTGTTGTAATGTTACTACCACAAACATTTACTGCCAACTGAACATACTTACAGGAAGCAGCATAAGTTAGGAGCTGCTTCAAAAAGTGTCAACCTGCAGGATTTTCTCATATCATAGGCAGACTTAAGTGTTGTATTTCTTTAATTTAGAAGTCAGCTGGAGGTGTCCCTTTGCCAAAGTGGGGAGGGGGGGGGGAGGGGAGGAGCTTAGGTTATTCACATTATGTTTTCAATTAACTTGACTTGACAAATCTTAATATCAGATTAGTAGATTAATAGTACAGGGTTTAGTCCTAAGGATTCACTAAGAAAAATGTTATAAATGGTATTTGTGGAAACTGTGGAACTGGACAAAGAATCTGAGCTATAATTTTGTTTGAATGTAAATAGTATTGGTAATGCAATAAGAGGACACACATTGGTATATTTACTTATAAGTTTAGCAATAAAGGCAGTCCTGAAACTCTGAAAGCTGCTCTGACAGTTTGACTCATCATCAACGTTTGATGACCTGTTGGTTCAAACAGCTTTCATGCAGAAACTTCTGCTGTTGTGACTGAGCCAATCAGAGACGCTAAAGCTGTTTGTGGGCACTGCAGCACTGACCAGCTAAGGTGTTCTACTGTACAAAGACTGTATAGAGAAAAGACCTTCACTTCCATCACATATCCCCACTGCACTGACCAGCTAAGGTGTTCTACAAAGACTGTATAGAGNGGTGTTCTACAAAGACTGTATAGAGTAAAGACCTTCACCTCCATCACATATTCCTATTCACTTAACATGCAAAAATTCTCTACATCTCCTCCACTGTTCTGTGTAAAATCCATTTTGCTACCTTCCTAAATCCGAAGAATCCTAAGTCCTAAACTCAGACAGGATTATGTATTTAATTAATCAAATGGATTCTTATCAGTCCTTAAGGTAGCTCTCCAAGATGAGAGAACTGGCATAATGACACGTGCTGTGGATTTGATGCTGGAGAGAAGCGCGGACAGAAGCAGCCTCTGACACTTGGGCACAGCAATGTCATGAATAAGCACAATATCCTTCAATATCAAAGCAAAACACAATCATTCTGGTATGTGTATTTTTGTTTTGTTTTGTTTATGTTTTCATGTGACGCTGAAAAACAAAACTATACGATTATATATCAGATGTATAATTTGACAAATGTATAAATAGACATATATGTATATGTGGAAAAATCCCTGTACATATAAAAATATGTACATTCCTTTTTTTTAGTAATGCTGTTGTCAACATATGAAGGAGGAACCCAAAACACAAAAAAGCGCAAATAAAGTAAATTGAGACAAACCATGGTGTTAGAGAGGTGATCATTTACCCTTAAAGCAACGAGTACAGCACACACAAGATAAATTCAGCACTTTCTTTGACTAAGACACCACGGAGGAAATGTGTCCAGAAGGAGAGAGAGATAGAGACACACACACGCCACAGAGACACACACACGCCACAGAGACACACACACACACTACGGGCTCATGGCAGAGAATGACAGGGTACATTCACATAGAATTCACTCACACATGCACAGCTACAGTACAGGCAACTTGGTAACTCCAATTAATCTCAGCATGTTTGTGGACCGTGAGGGGAAACTGCAGTACCTGGAGAAAACCCCAAAATGACACAGGAGAAGATGCAAACTCCACACACATGGAGCCATGGTGAAGACTCAAACCCTGGTCCCAGATGTGTGAGGCAACAGCGGTAACCAGTGTTAACCATCCTGCCCCATATATATACTCACCTAAAGGATTATTAGGAACACCCGTTCAATTTCTCATTA